TACGGAGTATCGGTTAGGGTGAAAGTTGTGGGACAGTTTGTTCGTGATCTCACTTCTATTTTGCATTCACCATTATTTCCAGTCCGATAAACTAAAACTTCTGCTTGTTATACCATTGAGTGTCAGGAGCGTATTTTCCTGATAACTGTATCAAAGAAAGGGAAAACGTTAAATTCCATTCTTTGCAGCTACAGTGGATCAGGTTTTAAGGCAGTGAAGAGAAATATAAGAAAAAGTGATGGAATAACCTGGTAGACGCTTAGTAAATGATTGTTGTGCACGTCCCAATGCCACACGATCACCCACACTTCAAGTACAGCAGATGATGGAGCCATAATCTGGCAATGGACGTGCTTTTATTTTGTACCTGATATTTATTGATTCTGTCAGTTTGAATGTTTTGGACAGACGTCCAATGCTCCGATTAGCTAGAGCTGCAGTATTTCCGGCGTGTTCGACAATGTTACGTGTGCTTGAGTAGTGGGTCGCTAGGTCACTGATAGTGTGGTAGCGATGCAATGGTTTACCCTCAATAGTAAATGAACCTGTTTTGGTGTCACATCTGTAAGATACTACGTGGCATTAGCAGCAGCTAATATCCATTTGGAGCTCCATGAGTCTAGCGCAATTAAGTCACGCTGAATTTCGCTTAGCATTACGCTGAGCACAGTTGGATTAAAAGTGTAAAACATTTTTTATGTCATCAGAAAATAGGAAAGGTTCGTCGGAGCTAAATGTGTAAAATTAGACTTTACATCTAGTAGGAACAAAGGGTCCAAGAACACTACCTTGTGTCACACCAACGGTGACAGGCTTTGGGCTGATTTTTGTGTTGTATTTGAGCATTCTGGGTTTTATTAGTAGGGTATGAATCAAACCATGAAAGCAGTGTTACCTATACCATGTGCAGTCGGTTTGTATACTAGATAGTTATGCGGGACACGCTCAAATGCCTTGCGCATATCAAGGTAGATGAATATTACTGATGAAATGCCAGCCAGCGCATTAGTCAAGAGACTGAGAAAGTCGATCTGATGCGCACATAGGAAAGAGTGTTGTGTGGTCTTGATAAGATTCCTTGTTATCAAGCAATCAACAGTTTGAGACTTATGTAACGCCGCATCATTTTAGAGGATATTGAAGTATGGCTTATTAGGCAGTAGTTGTTCATTTCATGGATGGAGCTTGATTTGTCGCGCGGAATGACTGCATCCTTCTTAATCTGTGACAGCCCAGTACCGGCTTACAAAGGTAGCAAATAGACTTAAAATTAATATATGAATGTCGGATCCACCGTTTTTAGAAAGTGTTGGTACTAAGTTGTCAGGTCCAGCATCCCATGATAATTTAGTAGTGAAAATAAGTCGATCATTTTATGGAGCTCAAACATAACTGTGTAGGGCTTGCCAACAGTGAACAGACGGGATTTGCGATGGAACTTAGAACAATAGCGTTAAATTTAATACAGATGTAATTTCTGAAAGTGCTGCCTATTATAAGTTGGATTGATATTTATCTGACTACCATGAATCCTGATTGAGGTTTGTGTGTCCTAGTTAACTTTTGCGAAACTCATTTACATGAAGGTTCTAGATAAACCATAGTTCACTACCACTCCTAAGTACTTCAATGATATAACCGTGTGAAATCCATCACCAATAATAAAGTTCTTTGGACACTGTGTAAGAGACTGCACGTACTTTGCGCCTTTGGAAAAAGAAAATGGAATATCATGAACCAAATATAGAGGACGTCTAAATGATCTTACAGCCTGAGTGAAGAATTGGCGGTTCGATAACTGATGCCCAGGAAATGTCCTGAACATATTTTAGTAAGGTCCCTTGTGTGGGGGCTATAGTTTAGCTGACCTAAGAAGCAAAGAGAAAAGGAAGAAACCTTGATCCTTAAAGTAAGCAGAGCTATTAATTAGTGGGGTGGCAAGTAGTGTGTTTGCGTCCAGCAAACTAATCGCTATACAAAGGAAAATGGATGCATACATGCTTTGAATAAGTGGATCTATTAGCAGCAATTTACGGTTTACACAGACGAATGCATTGCCAAAATCAGGGAAGCGTATACGGCTTAATTTATTTTCGTTATTAAGTGATGGCAGTATAGAATCTAAGTGGCAGACAAATGCATCTAGAGTAGACCTTGTATTGTACTAAGCGATTTGAAGGGGTCTATGGAGCGAAGTTAGCATAGAATTATTCTAAGAATGACGTTCATCAAACCTTCGAAGCAATTAAATTGCACGCGGAAGCTCGATGAATATTGAGGCATTTTTCGGCACTCCTGTGATACTCAAACATTACAAGAAGTCAGAGATAATTTTTTGTTGTACACATCGTGTGTATGCCCACTGAAAAGGTGTTGCCAAAAAATTCATCATATTCTTTGATTACAATAGAAGACAAAGGGTCCCGACCGCTTGGCTTTTAGAAACCGTTAGCTTTTTCTGGAATTATGCACAACTTCACGATTAATCGGTAGCAACAAGTTCAATTGCAGAGGAGATGTGAACTGGAATTCGTTGAGACGGTTGCAGTTACAGAACTCTACGTTTAATTCCTCTACATTCCTATGGAAATAGAGCGTACGTCAATAAACTGCAGTCAGATGCTTTCTCATTCTGCACAGTTCGAGACAGCCACCGTTCCCAAGAATCGACTGCATGTACACTCGGTTGATTCGGCCTATCTCCTGTTTGATGTGTACAGAGGTGCTTTGTATTTCCTTGTATGTTGTCTCCCAATTCACCGTAGGAGCTTCCGGTTAATGGAGGAGAACCTGTCGGCGTCAATCAATTCGGCCTAATGAATTCACGGGAATAATCATGAAGAACATAACATAAATAACTTACTGAATCGAATGTATAACATTGTACATAATCTAATAAACAGTACAAGAATTAAGCCGTCATATCTATGGTAAGAACGCTGACTGCGACATTGGTTGTTCGTCTGAATACATGCCATGCAACTATCAAGATTATAATTAATTACGAAGCACGTACACTGCAAAACGCATCATCGCACGCGCTAATTATAGACATCAACAAGTATTAGATACAGGCAACTCTAACTTGAGTAACCACAGCATAAATTGAAAAAGGTGCATATTAAAATACTGGAATAGCGATCCCTGATAACACAGTGATATTAAATATATTACTTGAACGATCACGAATGAGCGAAATATTTAAATAATATGTACTTGTACGACCATGGTGCAATAAACGCTCATGCCCAACATTCTGATCCTGCAGCTATCGAAGTTCGTTTGATCACAACTGATAAGCAAAGCGAAGGCAAAGCTCCTTGCGGCTTGGTAAGAAAATCTGTAGTAAAATGTTGGTGACTATATTTCCTGACAGGTGCTTTATTTTAATACAAAATAAACAACAATGTTTACCTTTGCAGCTTGCTGGACTTGTTCCTGAATTATGGCAAGAAGGTGGATTCCAAAGCTGTATTTCAATGCCGCCAATAAAATCGGGTTTAACTTGGCGCATTATGTCATATAAAATTACAGTTGAATCCTCGGTAATTCATGGCTTTCCAGAAAACGCCGACCAATTTGAACTGTTTGCTTTTCTCAACCGTCATCTAAACCCATCAGGAAAACGATGTAGTACACTTGTGGGATCCAGCTGGTGGTCTCAAGTAGAAGAAAAGGGTATGTGTCTAATAGGACAGCGATAAAATAAAAGTTAATTAAACCTTTTTAGTATACATTTGAATGTTGATATACATAAATATGTTTCTTTGAGCTTAGGTGGTCGCGTATAATTTATGATTGTGTTTGAACAACCCGAACTCTCTTTGACAGTTCGCACATTGCGATACAATATACTGTAGTATTTGTCCTTTAATTTCCGACAAACAATTGTTGTAGATACAAATTATGACGTCAGAATGTATTTTAATATTGCTCGGTTGAACGCAGAGCATTCCGCTTGCAGCATCGTGAGTCCTAACACAAATGTTCTTCGTGGTAGAACACAGTAGAAAACAAATATCGCGAAATGTTTACCTCGTATCATACATTAATACATGTAAGCGAAGGGATGTATCTATTTTTATAAAACCCAGCTTTAACGTCGCAATAACTATTTGAAGCAATTGTTTGACGAAAAGGTTATAATCTTGAATTCGGTGAAAACATTTTCCAACTGACAAACCTAGCTTGAATTACTTTCTTGATTATTTTACGTAGCATTGGCACAAACTGGGAAAATTTTTACCGGAACAGAGTACAGTTGTAAAGCATTTAACTATCCATCTTTACCAAATACCATTTGCGACAAGCCTATATTTCATAATTTTACCTCGCCAACTATCGCTCACTATTTAATCCAGTAAACTTCTTCAATGCAGACTATTTGGTGCCAAGTGTAGTAAGGTCGATGAAATCGTAATGGTGTTTAGACAAAACTGATTACCTTGTGTTAGAGTTAGTGTTGGATTCCTCTTTAGTAGGAGCAAATATTATTCCGTTGAATTTGCCAAAAGGTTGTTGCATTGTGCGCCAATCTACTGAGGCATTTGCGGCCGATAGCAGATGGTTCTGAATATTATTCTGAGCAGCCCTATTTTCGGTAATGTCACGAGCGCATATAGCTTAATCAAGTTTTCTAAAGACATTTATCCATTTATACACTAAAGTCAGCATCATAAGCCAGAGCAGTGTGCATTTGCGTAAATTTCAAAGAGACGAGGAACCGTACTTCATTAGGTACATGTTGCATATCAGAGTGTATCTTGATGACCAACACTCCGATTTCTCAATCGGTGTTCGTAAATTTACTTGCTCAGTAATTAAACCGGTTTAACATTTATATACTCCAATTACTTCGAAGCGTTATAGTAAATACCCATCATCTAAACTAACCTATTAATGGTGATCTGCATCATAAACATTTTGACGTGACTGCACTTTTTCACATAGATAAGTGAGAGAGCCAAAGACGCAACACTCAACGTCCCCGTACTAATAGAATGTCGGTCGGATACGATCGGATTACCAGGAAGTGTATTTACTCATCAGGTGACGCTGAAGTTAAAGACACGCGGTTACCACTTGTTGCAGTCAGAGAGTGTGTACAAAAGTATCAAATTTATTGCTGACAAGATAAACTTCGAATCTTCTCATTGTGTAATTGTTACAAGCGTGGTGACCGCCGAATTCGGTCGGTCAAAAGGTGAGCAACCTTGTCAAAGATAATGTTACAGAAACATCTGAAAACAAGTGGTTAGGAACATGAACAACGAAATGTACATATTACGCAGAAAAAATTAAACGCTAATTTCTTGTCGCTGCTTTACTATTTTAAGGTGAATATACTATTATCTGTAAATTATTAGGGTAGCAAATCTAATGCAATGTTAGCTCAACTAAAACAGGCTGCCATAGGAAAATTTCATGAGTCACTTCTCAGAACCGCCCAATGAAATGTGGATAAAACTTATTAAATGGCACTATCCGTTAAAGTATCAAAAGCACCAATCTTTTATATTAATTATGGTAATACTCGACCTCAGACAACTAGTTTCAGATAACAAACCAATGAAAACTGTAAAGGGAAATTTGAGTGATGTTATTTACACTTGACTCCATTACCGTACATGATGTACACCTAGGTTTAATTGGCGAGACGTGACCTCCTGCGAGATCTTAGGTTATGAAAATGTCTGTGTAGGTTAATCCTGTCCTATGTTTTACTCCAGATGTAATATTGCAATTTAACGGATCAGTTTCCAACGATAGCTGTGCACTGGTGAGTTCGTCGACTGACTGCTATTGGTCCAAATTCATTGCCCAGCTATGTAAGTTAATTGCTAGAAACGTATGATCTTACTTAGGTAAACAAAATATTTAGAAATGCCTGCGACTGGGACAACCTGACGTTCCCTTTTTCCAATTGCCGCGCAACAGGCGCTGTGTATTTCGTAAAAAGATAAGTACATTTCCATACATTTACTATACTAGATAACCGCAGTGCACAAACATTTAATTACCAATACTTATACCCTTGTTTAGTTGTTAGGTTGGCGGATGTCGGCGTACTTCTATGGTGGATTTGTTAAATGTGAATCCTTTTATATAAGTCCCACTTACTTTGATATGGGAATACGCATGGTTATGCTACGTACAGGAAACCATTTTCATGGAATGCCAATCGTTTCAATAAGTGAGACGGAGCTCGCTCTTCGCACGGAGGTACTGTTCAATATGGACGCTGAAGGCTGCATCACTTACGAACCAAGCCATGTGGCAAGGCTGTTGGGTAAAAGTGCGCTTGCCCGTTTAATCATTTGCAATGTGCGGTGGATGCATATTAATTTTCGTTCAAATATTTTTATCCCAACTTGTTTAGCTACTGCGTAAGGATTGATAAACACCGTTGAACATGCAAGTAATATACAGAGACTGCTAACTTGAAGATACAATTCCTCCACCATCTTCAAAGGCTGTTCATCCCCATCAAATACACCCGAAATAACTACATATCTGTCTAATCCAGCCTTAGTATTGCCGAATGACAAGAGTTGCTTTTCACAGTTTACCACACATATACCCCACAAGAATGCCCTTAACTTCCGATGTGGAATTATTTAGTAGATTGGCTAAGATGGAACAAGCAAAGCTAAAACTATGTGGCACTACAGCTGCCCTGACTGTAACTCATTGGTATTGCTCACCAATATAATATTTTCCTTGTCATTCACAGATAAACATCCCACAAAATTCCGACTTATGTAGGACGGAGTAATCAACGTACACATTGCACGATTCAGTTGGATGATGCTTTTTAATAAGAGACGCAATTGTGAAAGATAATAATATTACTGTAACTTAACTAAGCATAATTCGCGCATTCATTTGTGCTTATAGTTCCTCTCCATCAGCTGTTGAGGTCACTGGACAGAAAGTAAAATAACAGCAGCATTTCTCTCTCGAAACTTGACATGTCATCTACCCTAATAAGAAATGATAGGGGAATTAAGGGTCTTGCTAAGGATAGGGTTACAAACTTCTACCGAAATCCAACCATAAAACAGATAGTTGCAACATTGAAAAAGCGCAACACAGTGGTAATTTTTGAATTTTACTTAAGCTAGCCGTGCTTCGATCTTGTGATTTTGTGGACTAATATCTTTTCACTAGTCCTTTTCATGCTAGGCTTGTCCAAACCTTTGAGCATATCTGAGCATTTAGTTGTTAGGTAAAATTTTGCATCCTTTTGTGTGTGGCTTTGATAGTCGTCTCATTCCGGTCTTGAGGAGTTCCACCTTCCCAATGTGACAGATTTTATGTATCAAGTCCAAATAATGCACTACAACAGCGAGTTGCTTGAGGATAGAAGAATGGACGATGACAGTACCGGTCGATTTGTGCGCGTATCAGTCAGTTATTGGCTCAAATACTTCTGAACTATTTAGCGTCGTATCAGTTATGTTATTCACTGATTGATGGGGTGGTTGCTGGTGGATATTAAGTCTATCATCACTACGATCCACCACTTTGGAAGACGCGCCAAAACGCTTGCTTCTTATTCGCGTCATCTATAGCATGACTACCATCCTCCGTCAATAGGTTACCGAACTACTCTGTCGAAGAGACCTTCGATTGGGAATTTCTAGTGCACATCTGTATCATGCCTCCATTCAGAGTAATTCGAGCTTAGCAGAATTACGCAACAGTGCAGTTTAATTACCAACGTCCCGCAACATTTGTAATGCACTGAACGCCAATCCGTATGTTTGTTTAGAGCTCGTTCCATACTTCGACCCCATCACCGGAGATTATAGGCTTTTTAGAGTGCAACATGATGTACTCATAGGAAGAATGAACAACCTTACCATTATCTTACCTTCACCGCTATTCTAAAGTGGTTCGTCATGTATTAACGTGGTAACTACTCTTAACAATGAGAGCACAAAATTTGTCGCAGACGTATGTAATCTATCCACTGGCTTTTCATAGGATAAACTCTTTCAATCATGTACACATAAGATACAAGTTCTTAATGCCCGTGCAACTGCCCCGGTTACCTAGACAAAGCATGGGGGACAGGAAAGCACGCAGGCTGCCAAGTGTAGCAAATAGAAGGATGAAAAGGATAAGGTAAACATTTCATTCGCTACAATCTTGTACGAAATGCAGACTATCCAAAGCGTCAAGGAAGGCACTGTATGTATATCAGTCTCGCTGGATTTGAATTCTAAAGACCGTGAACTTTTTAAGTCCCCCGATGAGGTACGTTTGGTTACTTTTGACCCTCCCACTTACTGACAAGTCAAAAGGCGCACTTAACCCCAGGTGCAGATCCAAACTCCTTGAAAGACCTGTGTGTGACTGCCGCAAACCTTACGACCCTTAGCGCTTAAGCGCAGCCCTCTGTTAAACGGATGATTCATTCGAAGCATATATGTGTCCTAATATTACGTATCGTCTGAAAACAGAAGGGACTGCGCTGCGGGATCCACTCGGTGGTCCTTAACCTCATCGCAAGCTAAAGCAGACCGAGAACAGAAACATGCATGACAGAAAAACGGCGGTTTGTCTTAAAGCGCATGGAGCTGACACAACAGTATATTAATAGAGCTTGCGAGTCGCAAACCAACCACACAGCGTGCTCACTAAATTCAGCTTTGAATTCCTTTTCGCTACGCCAAGCGTTGCTCGCGGATCTCAGTAGCATAGTGTTCAGGGTGTCAGCCATGAACTACTAAGCTCTGAATTCCACCCCAGCTCAGGCTATCTTCAACTGACGAGTCTAAAGCAAGACAACCGCGGTCGTGGTGTGCCAGTGTTGGGCAGAGCTACACCCGATTATATCCATTCAGGATATGGTCCTCGAGATCGGAATGACCGACGTTTACCTGGAAGTGAGCCCAGGTCTCAATAGAGGTTGCGAGTCGCAACCCAACCACAAAGCGTGCTCCTTAAATTCAGCTTTGAAAAGCATATCGTCCTTTCTAGAAACACCGGAGACAATTGCAGGAAGGTCAGAACCGCCGTAGTACTTCGAACGGATCCAGAATCCAGAAATAGAGGTCGATCTAACGGCCAACTAATTTTACATAACAGTTAAAATATGCAAAAATCATGACCTGTAGAAGTAGGGATTTGTGCGTCTAAAACCAGGATTTCATCCTTTGCTGAGGTATCAGGGTGAATATGTAGTCTATTTGATGACTCCAAGGTCCGCATTAAATTTCTTCTGCTTTGAGCAACAAATATTTGACGACCCCGATTTGTGGTCACTTGAACTATCGGCACACGTGGCTACAAGTCATATAAGATCATTGGACCTTAAAGTGTTTGACTTCATTTCGATATCCAAGCAAAATCAGCGTGTGAGAAACGGCATCATTTATAATAGAACGAGCTCTCACTTGTATGTAAAAACCTTGGCTAAAATCTTAATTCATTTTTCTCTCAATCGCGTTGTCACATCTTCGGAATTTACACTCGATAACTGCAAAACGTGATAGCGTCCGTGAGCAATCGAGCGTCTGACTTTCGTCGGATATAGGGGTAAACCCGGTTTACAGGTAACGGATGTGTTTAACATCGTTAAAGCTCTTATATACGTGCGGAAACTTAAGTATCGATGGCGCATTAATTGCTTGACAGTATTTTCGTTATGCCAGCATTTGCAACGTATACATTTTGTCTTTTCAAAGTGCTGTATTTGGCTATAATCAGAAGGTTTCCCAGTTTGCTTCAGTTAGGAAAGCAGCTTTAGCCGTTACACAAATATAATACTAATTAAAATACATACTTGGTACTCAGTGGGGAAGTTTGTTATGTATCGAAAAATTACTTGCTATGAGTCCGTTGCTTCCACAAATTGTTCCTTAATGGCGTTTTAGATCACAAATCAGCTGGTTATGGATCTGAAACCAGACAGAACTCTGACGTTTTTCGGTACTCCTGCTATTAGTGGGGTACCAAAAGGGGAATAAAAAACTAGCTAAATTACGAAACCTACCAATTGTAAAAAATAACTAAGTGTCTATAAAACTTCTTAACTAATGACCTCCAACAAAGTCTCTACTTGTGCACCACAGTAAAGACGAACCTTTACTCCATTGGAGCAGTGAGATAAAGTTCACAGGCATGATGGTACAAAACTCATGAATACAAACATAATTCTGTTGAAATGAACGTTCCATTTCCGGAAAGTTTTGGCAAGCGTTAAAACATTAAATCTTACGTAACTATATATGTGCATATGAAATCATGCTAACGTAATATTTTTCAAGCGAGGTAATTTATTCCCTACTTAAGTTTTTGGACGCCTAATGATGCGGGCAGAATAAAGGTGAGCACATCGAATACCTATCAAAGTTAGTAAGTAGAAAAGCAAACCACACCATCCGTTTAACTCATTCTTGAACAAGTAATTACCAGTAGATTAGAAATAATTTTCTTCTGGTCTATTCTGTTTTGCACGATAGCTAACGAACGACTGTGTGAGTTCTGACCTTATTTTTGCTCAATCCCTCATTTGATAGAGTGTTTTTCTTAACTAATTCGAATGCAGGGGAAATTATTTTCGGACTAATCACGTGTTGGTCAAATGTTCATCATTGAATCATAACTCCAAAACATAAGCTGTGCAGATTATTAGTTAAACCGATAAAAACTTTTATTCATTTATTTATATACATCTTCCTTGCGAAAACAACATTTTCAAAAACGTTCAAGCAAAACTAACCACAAGGTGATGAACTATGATATTCGCCTTGAAATGTGGTTTAGCCGATACATCTGAACTGAAACTTCTCATGCCTCTTGGTAGGTGAAGTTGCAATGAGGTTCCGTTGCAAAGAACTGTTTGTTAAATTGTTATATTAATCTACTGTATCAGCCAATATAAAGAACTTAACAGACACGTAAAATTATATCGTCTTAATGGCTTATCAAATTAGAAAACTCATCTTATGTGTGTGTGGCGCATAGATCCCATTTCGATCCAAATGGATAACTCACTTTGAAGCAAAATCTAAAATAATACCGGCAGGCGACAATTGGTTAACTAGTAGGTCCAATCAAAAAATACAATTCTTATGACAGCCGCGCTTAGAGATTTTACAACCAACGATAGAAAATATCCACGGGCCTATGTGTGCAAAGAATGTTTGTTATTTTCTCATAGCCTCGAAAAAATATGCTTTTAGCCTGATTCCGAAATTTTAATCTTTTTTAACATCCTTCCTGTTTATAAAACAACGAAATTAACGTTATTGATCTTCAAAATTATTTATTCGCACTGATCAAATGTGTATTACTATGTCATCTTTTAGCCGCATTCATTTCTGCACCTCCATCTGTTGACCTATGTGAAGAAGTAAGAAAATCGTGCCTCACTCTCTCCGATAGCGTCCAACTTCATACCAACCATAGTTGAATTGAATCCTTTGTTCATAAAAGAACATAATTGACTGTCCTCCAACTATTAGAATTAAACAGGAGAACATTATTAATTAAAGTTTAGTTTAAGTTAAAGGACTTGCATAGAAGCCGTAGATAATCCGGTTCAAAATTTGTCTCATTTGTTGTGTGGCTAGATTTTTGTTGAAAATTAATTAAGAATAGCAACTATCAAGCAACAACTTGAATTTCTAACTGCTTTCACCTAGTTGGCCTTTGTGTAATTCAGCTATTTCTGGTAAATCTGTACGTTCGTCCGTTTTGCTTATGGGTAATATGATACCTAACAGATCCGTAAAAATTTTTTGACGAATATTTACTATGTAGCTTGTCAGCACAAGTCGGTTTACGTTACTTTTAATCATGCGGACTGATTAAACGTTTGCCTCTATCTGATATTTTAACTTAAAGATACGACTAATGCCTTTGGTATTCATTCATGTTCTTTCTCATAAGGTAAAGAAAAGGATGGGAGATGACTTCTTAATAATGTATAAATCGTGTTCACTGGAAATGAGAAACAGTTCCAAAGCACCTGAACAAAATGTCGTGTTATACCGCCTTGCAGCAACGGAACCATTTCACACAGTCGACCAACCATTCTATCTTAATTATCACAGTCTTTTGGTGGATAGTCTTAACTGGGATCACTCCAGTTGCCTTTATAATGGTTATATTGACAAGCAACCAGGTGAGTTACTTTGCTCTTGATATATGTGTTTAACCAATGAAGGTACGATAGGGCAAATTTTGAATTCAATCAAAAATATGGGATGGTATTAACGACTTACCCTTAATATTGCAACGGTTTATCGAGTTTTCACTGAAAATACCATGGCCAACCACGGGAACACTAAATACATATAAAAAGTAACAGATTTGCTAATTTGTGTCATTTTATTTACTTTGCAACTGTCAGAAAAATTTGTTCTCATTACTATACCGTAAGAATCAAAAGTAATGCAATAATTCCTAGAGTTGTGACAATAAATATTCAAACCTATGTATTGGAGTTTAAGCGTGCGCTGCTCTGCTAGTAATTTTAGTTGCTCATATTTGTTGACCATGTATTTCGAACTGACCAAAAAGCTACGCATGTTTACATTATAAAATAATACTGATAATCGTGTTATCCTTTCTTCTATAGTTGAAATTACTTGAAGCCGGTAAAATTGCAAAATCCACGTTGAACTGCTAACTTTGCACAAAACTGAATTTTGTCTGTACTGTCCACATATACATATAAATAAAAGTTCTTTCACCTAAAGTTTGCTGTCCTCTCCAATATAATGAAATTTTTTAATGTACAGATTAGATTCTGTATAGGTCACACAGGCTTTAGGTGCCCAACTTTTGTGATAATTACTAGTATCATCCAAACTAATATTACCGGAACTAACCGAAAACTGCTTTTATTCTTCGTATAACACCTTGAATAAGAGTAGTTTACTACTTTACTGAAGAGCAGCAGTACCATATATTCACTTTAAGGTAAGGACGGATAGCGCTTAACCGTACACTTAGAAGGCAAGTGTGAAAAGTTGTCCAAAGGAATTCTTGTCCAACCTGGTGCCATTTTAGCTAATCATTATGGCATACGTATAACCAGTCTTATGCGACAAACACCGCAAACCTTGTCTAGGGGTTGGTAAAGTTCTTCAGTGTATAGGTAAATGTAAGCAGAAGGACTTTCTACAGCCTAAATATATGCTATGAGAGGGCCATGGTTGATGTTTTTCGTGTCGCACCCCCTGTTAAAATATTTTCTGTTCGGAGGGTACATGTAAGGGAGTTGAACTGATTCACTCTTGTACATCCCATTATGAGTTCTACTTCTCAACAAGTCTTTCACCTTCCGAGAGCTGTTACTTTCAACAGCTGTTACGTGTGCTGTTTGTCATAGAATAAGTTGGCAAACTTCCTGATATCAAGTCAGCAGTCATTAGGCTGGGAAGCATAATTAGGTGCATTAATAGGGTCGAATTTATTATTTTACTTGTTTGCGGCGTAAAGTTCCTTAGTAAGTGCAGTATGCTATTCTGAGCAGTAAACGTCGCGGACGATTTGTTTTTCCGGTCAGAGTATCGAATAGACTAGGTGTTATGTGTGCAACTGGCATTCATTTAACTTCGGGTACGATTTGGGCTACACAGCAGTGTTACATGAGATGGCGTTACATAACTTAATGTAGGAACTTTATGCCCGAAGATGCCATGGCCGTCAGTAGTGAGAGGACAAGTTAGGTGGGTAATTTCTAACACATTGATTCCAGGCGAATTAGCAAAATTAAAATTTAGATCAGTTAATGAGAACCGAAAGAAGCGGTAAAGCATACTCAATGGTGGAATGAAAAGAATTGATGTTGACTAGACTTTAACCACACACTTTATCGTAAAGCAACTGATGCGCAGATGAGTGCATACTGTCAAACTAACTACTGGGTCGTATATCGCCGGGAACTTAATCGTACGCTTGGCAGATTTTATGGAACAACCAGGCGGTTAGATCGCGTTCGTTACAGTCAAGCAATTATTGATGAGTAGCGAAATTCGTGGTCTAGCGTGCAGGCAAGAATCAAAGCTCGTAGGTTATTCCAGATTACGGCGTATCGGTTAACGGGATGCTTTACAGTTCTGTTGGTGCTGGACTTGCAAGCAGTTACTAAGTTATGTCTAGTTACTCTCTTGTAAACAACCTATTAAGTTTGGAAACATGTATGTGGTGGCATAATTAAAAAAGCCACGTTGTGTTGCACGCGTCGTTGCTACAGCGGATCAGTCTCAAGCTTATCACATCTTTGGTGCATCTTAGTAGTAAAGTTGTAAGTAACAGACCTTTTACGATTACCAAATACGCTTGTTTAAATGCTATTTGATTGCAGTGATTTGAGCTGCGAGGGAAAATTGCAACAAAAGTAGAATATAGAGCATAGCAGAAACCTACTCAGGTAGCTATTAGTCTACATGTGTAGCATGGTAAAAAACGCAACACAAGTCCTGAGGTTGTTGCGCATGTATAAGAAATAGCGACGCATTCGTTGCGCCTACCGCAGTTGATGCTATTTTGCATTCATGCAGCGCAAATTTCCCTATCAGTAGTGTTGCAGGATGGTGTAAGTTGACTGTGAATTTAAGTTAAACAGCATGGTTTGCGACAATTATTCGATTATAAATGTTGTAATATGCATCCCAGATTGCACGTGCTAAATTTTCCCGACGAAATTAATTTGGGTTGATGTAAATTACGGTGTATGTAATTTTGATAGACGTGAGCTTTTCGACAAAACGTGGTGTTGCGTAAGTAACGTATATAGTCTAATAGTTATGGGTATTACTGGTGGATAAGTTTGACCAGATGGCGGTAAAACTAATCGTGACATGTCTTCCCAAATAAACTTAATAATGAAATAAAATTTGCAAGACAGTGTGATGAAATTTAAAGGCAAAATTCCATTGCTTACACATGGTAGGTAGCCTTTCGTCATGAATAAAGGAAATAGAACATCTTAATCAACGTAGTAGTACGTATGTTGTGTCTAGAATTATTAAGAACATGGAAGTCAGGCTAGTAAATCAAGTCATATTTTAAGCCTAACCAGTATTCGTGATTTTGTGAGTATTTTATTGCGTTTTGTTCGGTGGTACATATGTTGTGCAGACATTTTACAGTGTCCAGAAGTTTGAATAAGATGCTCGATATTATTTAGCATGAAAAAGTCTGGAATATACTGGGAATTCCTCAGTTCGCATTACTTGCACAACCGGTTTCTGCATTTGTTAGGCGATGTTACTCTTATCAGACAAAGAGATTGCTGGCGGAAATTTCCCTGTTATTGGCAAATTTCACCTATTCAAATCCATAACTGGCCGTTCGAAAAGGCGTATGAAAAGTCGCCTGATGATCTTGCCAAATGAATTAATGCATATTTTATGGATTGAGACTTCAATTTGCTAAACATTAGTCTATTGATACCACGAGTGCTCCCAAATTACATTTTCACGGCTAATGGGCAACTGCAACTTAATTGACCAGTCGTGTAGAAGATTTAATGTCGCTTGAAGTCTGTCTGCATCTTCCAGACTGGGTACTTCAAGCCACAGTTTCAGGTTTTCCGCGTAGATTAAGCAGTCGGTCGACAGTTCGGACAGCAGATCGTTGCTAAAAATATTGAAGATCTCTGGACCGAGTACAGAACCATGGGTGAAACCAGTGGTCATGAGAACTTGACCAGAAAGTGCTTCAATCACTTTAACATGCATAGATCGACAGTCCAGGAAACCAGAGACCCAAGAAAGAAATTTGCCAGTGACCCCGATTCCCCGGAGTTTGAAGAGGAGCCACTTATGCGGGACCTTGGCAAAAGCCTTACGGAAACCAACAAACACAGCATCCAGACGCACACCGGCATCTATGGATTTTTCCTGTTGTTTCCAAGCCACCAACAAATTTCTGGCACATGAACGCACCCTTCGGGAACCATGCTGGGCATGAGAGAAATACCCCAACTCATCGGGATGAAGGCGAAGGGCCCGTTACAGAATCCTTTCCATGAGTTGGCACAAAATTGAAGTCAGACAGATGGGACAACATCTGCCTGGATTCTGTCGGTTCCCTCCTTTGTAAATGCGTGTTACGATCGCAAATTCCAGGTAGATAGAAGACGCCCGAGCTCAAAGGAATGACGAAAGCTTTGATAGACAGGTGCGGCAATATGCTCAGTCACGGTCTTAAGGAACATTGGGTGTAAACCATCAGGACCAGGCGAGGAGTAAGGGTTTAGGTCAAGAAGAAGTTTCATTACAACGTCAGTATTAACATTCACGCGCTCCAACGGGGAAGGAGGAGCGGGCACAACGCTATCCATGAGTAACGTTTCGGTCGAGTAGACCGAAGAATATTTCTGAGCGAAGAGGTCAGCTTTCTCAACGTCTTCTTAAACTAGATCCAGATGCTCACAGTGACAATGCAGGGACATCACTGTTAGCTTTGTTGCTTCCTTCGATGTAGGTTAAGCTCGCCTTGGAGGTTGTACTAAAAAGTGCAGCTAATGACAGCTAGTATTTTGGCGTTTCTCGCGTTTTTCCATGTAGCAAGCATTCCTGACATTTTGTAGCAGCAGTAGTCAAGCTTAAATCGCCTAATTCTGAAACGCGCTCACAGTTCACCTCTTCATTTTGTCATTGATCTCAATCCGTGATCGATCCAAGGAGAGCCTCTGGGAAAATATTGTTAAGGTAGACTGAGCCGGGAGCAGCCAGTGGGAGGGCGGGATTCCTACATGAACAAGTAAATAAATAAATAAATAAATTGTATATGGCTCGACGATGCGAGAAGCCGTTCTCAGAAGGGACGGATCAAATACTGGTACAGCAGTTTCATATCATGGTATAATAAATTTTAAAAAATGTGAGCACAAAATGAAAATTTGTGTAGCGCGAAGCGGTCCAAAATATTTACATTCCTCTTGTTCTATCGTCTGACAAGTTTTTAGCAGTCACATGAGAGTTGATCGCACACGAGAAAAAAAGAGAGTAGAGTGCTGCGGGCCAACAAAATATAACCACTTGTGCACTTGACCATATGCATTTTCAGGCACCATTAACTCCGTTCTCAAAAGCGTTATCTAAGGACTGTGCTGTTCGAAACATTATTATCACATTTTGAACGGTTAAATACTCTTTTATCGACAGCTTAAACAAACGCAATGTGCAACAAGTTCTGATAGCTCTTGGAAGTTTGTTCCAAAGCTTTGAGCAGTGTAGTAAGAATAAACGCTCCCTAATTCGCGTATTGAACTTTGGAATCATGACCGTTGTCTCCTTATTTCGTAGCTCATATCTAGTGTTAACGGCCATATGGACACAGTTAGCATAATTGTGCATGTGATGGTGAATTATTCTGTACAGGAAACACAAGTTCATCTTCATTATCCGTAGCCAAATTGGGTCAAGTCCAAGTTTTTCACTGCGCTCTCTGTAGGTCATCTTGGAGGAATATCCGCACAGCTTCTTTGTAAAACGACGCTGTACCCTCTCAAGAGCATGCTGGTCAGATTTCCGCAGATTCGACTGTATTAGTGAGCAGTATTCCATGCCAGGTAACACATATGTTTTGTAAAACCAGATACGAGATTCTGTGAGTTGAAATTTATGACAGATATTGCCAATAGTCTTCATGGCTTTCGAAACTTGGAAGTCA